CGTCGGCGGGCTTACCAATTTGGTGGCCTGTTTGATCTGACTCCATTTAGATCGTACGAATGATTGTTATCGCTGATTCTCGTATATCATCGTCGACTTAGATCGCGTTATCCAATAACGGAATTAAATAAGTCGAATAACGAGAATTGATTTGTGAATACGTATATTTTGAATATGAAGCCAACGAAACAGCAAGGCAAAATGACACGTATGGAAGATGGCTGGGAAGCCAACTCCATTTTAGTTAAGTGTTACTCAATATTTATAGTCAGACAAAATAAGCTACAGACATGTGATGAGTCATGGGATATGAAGTGTACACACATATACGCTCATATATAAAAACAGTCAAGACTGATAAGTGAATAATTGACAAGGTCAAAATATGACTCAAGTAGAATGAATAAAATGGAATGTCCAAAAACTGGAATATAAGATATATGGGCTTAAAATAATGACTGACACTACACTCTAAACGTTGGAGCAAAATTTTTCCTGATTTCGCTTTGTTTTATGGGTTTTACCTGCTGCTAATGAAGTCACTGTATTTATTCAGCTAAGCTGGCTAGTACTTACATAAGACCTTACGTTTTTAAACGAAATCGGTTATGTTTTACCTTGTTTTCTAGATATCCGAGGCCGAAGTTCGTTTTTATTTAGCTAAAATAATTGTTGTTGCCGCCTGTGACTCTAACTGTTCGCATGTTCGTTCCTAACTGTCCTTTATGATGTTATCGGCAAAATGAAAAGAAACAATCTGCGTTTTTTAATTTTCTTCAGTATCATGGACAACACTATCCTACTAACGAATCAAGCTAATACAGAGTGCCCTGCAGTAGGGTATATCGGTATTGATTTCGAAAGGACCCAGACTTCCGACAACTATAGATGAAGTCACAGATGCTACCAATCTATTGCAGAGGGTTTGTTATGAAAAATATGCCATATAGCAGTAATAGAGGGGTTGTACTCATTACGCAGTGCGTTAAAGCAAGCTTAACATTGAAAAGCCGGAAATCTGCTACCAGTGTGTAGTGTATGTTTGCTGTTTTGGCCATAAAAGGAAGCCGAAGGGTCATGATCAGGGAGTAAAAAGGTAATTAACTGTTATTAAGCTCACTTTTTCATAGATCATATTTCACCACTCGCACATTTTTGTTTTTTTACGGTATGATGTCAGCTGGCACCTAATATGTTCACCTTTACGATGAAAAGTACCTGCAAATTTTCACCTTCATATTCGAATTATTTTTGGACAACTGTCTTACAGTCTGAGTGCTTCTTACGCCCCGAGAAACTCTATTTCTACAACATTCGTAGTTCCAGTATAACTTTCTCACACAGTAAGTAAGCTACTATTACTTGCGCAAAGCATAACATGGGCTTAGTACCGTATTGCAATGCCTTTATTATTTTGCTCCCATTTAAGTATTCCCATGCATCTGCGTCTAGTTTAACTGGAAAACATACAAGCAGAGTAAGTGTCTGATAAACTAAAAGTCCCAGTTGCCAAAAAGATCCTTAACGTTTGTCCACAGCCAGCTGCATTTAATTGAGACACAGAACACTCGTCTTCTAAGACTGTATACTGCTGTTTTGCGGGCAACTAGAAGCTCAGACACTTAACTATCTTGCTACCGATGTTATTGCTGGGGAAATTGTTTAGTGACAGTGGTCTTGAAACATGAACAATGTGAGACGTATTGTTTACAAATAAACACCAAACATACTTATCGCTATCTTATAATGTATGACAGCAACACCATCAAAGGCACGTTTTTTCCTGTTTTTAACCAGACTGATTTGAATCCGTATACATATTTGAAACAGGCAACTCTACTTACTAAACTGATCTGTTTCGTTACAGGCTTCAAGCACTATACTTAAGTATATCATAATTCTTTCAACTAGACTGAATTATACGACAACTAAGAACACTAAACTAAGAAAGTGTCATAGTTATTGTTTCATTTGCACAGACATGTTGCTCAAAGTAGTTAAATGTACATAATTAAGCCGATAAAACCAAAACACGAAATATAAGCCAGTTGAACTCACCTAAGAAAAAAAAGAAGGATACATATATACTGCTTTCATACTGAAGACAACAGGCAGTTGTTCATAGAAACATAGTTTACAGTACAACAAACCTTTCTTCAGTAAAATCATGCACTGACAGTCTATCTGGAAACAATCAACTATGTGAATAAACTCACTATGACTTGAGATATCATTCCAGCGTGCAATATTCGTACAGTGTAACGCAGTCGGACGTGGCGAATAAAAATAAAAAACAGAGCAAAATTAACTACATAATCTAGTTATTTAATTAAAAATACATTATGAAATGACAAAATCTATGGTAACTTGAACGTACAGATGACCCTGGGCGATACATTAAGTTTACATGGTTGCGTTGCGGATAAGGTCACCCGTCAACTCTCAATCGTAAGTAATACGGGATTTAACTGTGGTCTTTTTACATATATTCCGGATTTTTTGATATTCACAATTAAATGGTGCGTGTCCTGTAGACAACAATAAGTCCCAGAAGCGTTCCCTACGCTTCCATAGCTTCGGGTTTCGCCATTTAGCTTTCGAGTTCTTAACTCCGTAAGAACATTCTTCCACTTGATTCGATCCTTAAGCGGCTCATCTGGTCGGATACAAATATTTGAATCACGAGTCTTGTGTGCGCTACTCAATATTACGTCTCTTTCTTAGAAATCCACGAGCACCGACTTCAAGATCCTTCTTGATTGGATTTCGCCTCCAACTCATCTACCGAGTATTATTGCTTTCGTGATGTTTACCGCTGAAACCTCTTCCTCTAACTGCAGATCGCGTGCGTATCTTTTAGTAGGGTCGTTGTATTTTGACTCCTCTAAAGTCCAAATAATTAAACAAGGGGATGGTTTAGCCTCTTTGAAAGCCGTGTTTACGGCTATCGACCGCGATGTCAGATCCTGCCTGTTAACTGCTGTCAGCTAACGTGGGAGTTAAGCGCATGACTCACAACAATGTTCGATGAGAAATTACTTTAGGACTTTGACGGAGTAATTTGACACGCAGAATGTGAGTCCATCAAGGACTTTTCAACTAAACAGCGCTAGTTTTGGCTATCCTTCCTACTCTTCTACGTTTCCGCATCATCCATTTCCCATCAGTCACTGCACCCACATTAGTACAACTAGGGACGGTAATGCTTTTATCTGCATCATCGGTAGCTGCTGTAGTAACTTGGACACCAATATCTAATGGCGTATTGCTCATTAATTGATTTGAGATAGAAAGCTCTACTGCATGTTGCAAAGTTGGGTGTCTGGCAAGTGCTGTGACAGCACTTACGACACTGACTCAAACTTCGCTATCAGTACCCATGTTACCAGTGCATCCCTCACCAATTTCTTACTAGCCACCTGGTAGTGGCTAGTTGTCTCTCGAGTGAGTGTTGTTTTTCTTGAACAACAGAACATATAGAGCCAATAGGAGTTAGGTTTTGAGCACCTTTTATAGGCAATGGGGCTTAGGCGGGTAAACACCTTATAAAACCAATTCTTACACTCGTCACATTGCGTTCCTTCTTCCACAGGGAATAGACAGTACGGCTGTCCGCTTTTGTGAGCAGAGACGGCCATCCTACAAAATGACTAAAAATGTTAACACAAAGTGGATATGTAAAAAAACTCAAACACTAACTAAATAAAGTCAAAGCCGACCAAGTATGCTATGATTCAATGAATACAAAAAAGCAAGACCGAAACACACAATTAAAAGATCACTTTAACTGAAATAAGTCCAATTAAAAATCAAACCGTAGTCTTGATGGGTAATTTATGGTCAAAACGGTAAATTTAACTCAAGGAGAAACAATACCACTGTCCTTTTTAAATAGAGCGCGTCGTATTCCGAGCTTGACAGTACCTTTACACGTAACACCTTTACAATCGAAGGATACCACCACAATCAAGTCAAAAGTCATAAATGAAGGAGTCCGGAGAAATATTCAGTAGACTACTGATATGTTGAGAAGCGTTCATCTATACTGGCTATTATTTTCAGGGGACCCGTAGCACGGCGTACCGACTCAGGATTCAGCGAGGATTCGTGATAAAGCACTTTCAGCTGAAGTGTGTCCAGCAAAACTAGTTGAGTCAGCGTCAATGTCGTAGACTCGCTGAACTACATATTTAGGGGGTTTACCACTACAGATTGCTCAAAGTGTTCGTGCTCAACATTTCCTGTTGTTAACTAGTTTGTTTTCGTCCCTCAGTTTCCAGAAGTAGAATCGCAAGAATTATACTTATCACACTTGGAATGGTCCTTTAGTAGTCAAACATAGACTCCAAGTAACAAAAATTTCACCTGGTCCGCTTAGTAAAGTTTGATGCTTGAAATCTGGCGCTTATACAAAGTTGTACGTCTCACTTCCTTTGTCATGGCCCTGTTGGATATAACTGGTTTTGAAACTGTGAATAGTCTAGGAAAAGATCCTGAATCAAGAAATGTGTGTACTCATCTTTCGGAGGTTGATCTTTACCGGAGTCGAAAAACTGAGGTATTGGATTTGGCTTACAATAAGGGTCCTAGAACTACCTACAACCGATAGAATATGGGATACAGTGCAAAGAAACGAAGATTAGTTTTTTACACGGTACCACTACTCTTGCACTCAAATATTCTGGTGGCGTCATCGTTGCAACAGACTCGCGTGCAACAGCTGGATCATATATTGGTAAGTTTTCTGATACTCTCAATTCATTGTCTAGCCTCTGGTACTACTAAGAAAATAATCGAGATCAACAAGTATCTCCTTGGAACCATGGCTGGAGGTGCTGCGGACTGCCAATTCTGGGAGCGCGTTTTGGCTAAGCATTGCAGGTGATGCCTAAAACTTCATGCTTATATTTTTTAGGTTGTTTGAGCTGCGAAATAAGGAAAGGATATCCGTCGCCGCTGCGTCAAAGTTGTTGGCCAATATGGTCTACAATTACAAAGGAATGGGTCTCAGTATTGGTACGACTATTGTTGGTTGGGACAAAAATGGACCTGGTATATATTATGTTGATACTGATGGCAACAGAACCCCTGGAAACCTGTTTTCTGTGGGATCGGGAAGTCCCTATGCCTATGGTGTTTTAGATACTGGTTATAACTATGAAATGAATGACGAAGATGCGTATGAACTTGCTAGGCGGTCAATATTTCATGCAACACACCGCGATGCAGCGTCTGGTGGATTTGTTAACCGTATGTTTTTCTGTAACTTATAAATTTTTTTTTACAGTGTATCACATGAAAGAAGATGGTTGGAAGTTTATTGGGATCTATGATGTTGGAGAACTCTACTACAAATATATGTCAAAATAAACTTTGATACAATAATAAAGACTTTTCATTCTTGTTTTGTCTTCTAAATTGTAAACAAATTCTGTTCTTTGTTTTAGAATACCAGAAGACTGTTCGGCATCCGATTTCTTACAGAAACTCATAATCTTATTATATTTCGAGGAAGGTGGTACTTGGTTTTGTATTTTGCTGCTTTAATATGGGTGTGTGAATATCTTGTTTATTACTTCACACTATACAGTTGTAATTGGCCCGACCCGCCCAATGCTAGTGTGAAAAACATACAAAATCCCGACACTGCTGTTGTCAATTTAATGGTACTTGCAGACACACATCTCGTCGGATATGTTCTAGGTCACCCCATTGACCGCATTAGAAGGTTTGAATCATTTATTATCTTTACAAATATTTACGTGGCCCCCGTAGTCGGTTTTGTTGCATGACTTAAAACTAAATGTGTCAGACTTTTTGTATTTAAGATTCTTTTATAAGTGAGTAGGTTTCGACCAATATCAGGAGTTTTAAGTACTTGGTAACTTGAAGTAATATAATACCATATACTAGATATGAGTGTCCATAAGTTCATCAACATCTTTCAATCGAACTGGCTTGTTGGAATGCCAATAAACTTTGTAGTTTGTTTGCGATAACTTCGACGGAACGATGGAATATTTATAAGTCAATAGAACTAATCCTTTTGTAATAGCTAGTGATATTGCCCGGCCAATCTTAGCTTTAGGAAACACGATTGTATTTTATTTATTTGTTGGGATTGCTGCACATCAACTAAGAAACTCCAAGGTCGTCCTGTCACGATTGGTACGATCCAACTGTCGTGTACGTAAATCGGGACAAGACCGTCAATTGAAAGAGGAATTATCTTAGATTGGTCTCAGTCATACCAAAATCCAGTTTCTCTTCCTCTTATCCAATCTGGTATTTGATTAAACAACGAGTAATTCATTAAAATGGCTTTAAAAATTAATGATAATCAATCCTTAGTAGAACTCATCTAGTTATACATGTGGTCCACAGAACAGTGATCAAAATCAACGACAGTAAACAATCGTGGTTTCGATCAACTGTCAGGAAACTCGACTCTGAATGTTTAAAAAGGTGTAGCTTCCTTGGGACGGCTTCTGAAATAGAGCTGTTGGGAAGGGTTGCTCATAAGAACTATCCTGACTACTGTAATCATCGACATCCCAACTTACTATATATTATTAAACATCTAGTCCAGAATTTTATCAATGATATCGTTTGTGATTGTAAATCCTAAGACTGTGATAAAGTGGTATCATTCAGGGTTTCAAACCTAGTTATCGCCATTTCAGTAACCCTCTTTATTACTCTAGACATGATAGTTTATTCTGTCAACAGCTACCTGTAATACTTTCGTAAACTTTGCAGATCTGTGTGACGGCGTGGTTAATGTGAAATGTTAAAGCTTATCGAAATCCCCATAAAAATACATTTTAATTTAGCGTATTTCTTACAAAATTACTACGAAACGTAACTTTCATAATTCACAAATGAGGTTCATAACACAGTTTTTCTGTCTGTGTTTACGCAAACAAGCTGTATTGTGTAATAAATAACATACGGTTCCGCTTTCTGAATCTAAGGTTTCTTCTGTGACTCGTAAGTCAGTAATTGGAGGTTGGACTTTGAAACCAGATTTATGTTTTTGAATGTTTTCACTACTTTTATCAGACTATCATATCAAGATAAATCTGATTGTCTTATCACAGTCACCACTCATTAAAACATCACAACATTTAGCTTTTTGTACTACTGTACAAATAATGTAAATATTAAGTATGTATATGTTCAGTTTTGCCTTTCAAAATTGTGGACTGCTCGAGACCTGACCGAAGCTGCTACCTTGACGCGGTGGTCGGGCTTGCCTATCGTGATGACCCAACCGAGCTATATTGGCTGGAACATATGTTCCTGTAGGTTTTACCATGCCAGGCAGGTCGATTGGAGAACGGTAAGACTAAAAGCAGCAACTCAATGCATGAGGGCGAAGTCGTACTGCTGACTGTAGAGGGGTGTGGCAGCAGTAAGGTGGTTCCCTCGGACAACCAGCATGATAGCGATGCTGCCTTCCCACAAGGGGGGGTGAGGTTAGAAAAGGTCGGCCATAAAAATGTCACGCCTCACCTTACCTCATGGGTCTCCGTCTCCGGCGGTAAGGCCCTTTGAAGAACGGAGCTAACACGTCAAAAACCTTCCACAAAAAGGCCGTGCGCAACCGGCCTCAAGCAGTTGTCCCTTGGGCACTGCGGTCACGCTCCCAGGTCGTTAAGACCAACACTAATCCAATTTCCTTTTCAGGTTCCTCAAGAAATACCCTTCCATGGTGTGGGCAGCCGGGAAGTGATATCAGCCCTCATACCCGTAACAGCACACGAGACCAAGGTGGTCACATTCAAATCTTTCCTACACCTCCTAATACCTCTCTTATCTCCATGACTAACCCTTCTCACATCTCTATCATCCCGCACCGCTAGGGCAAACGATTCGAGTACGCGGAACGCTATTCCTGGTCTCCTGAAACCACGCTCTAAACTGCACGTAGTAGCTTTTAACGTCCGAACACTGTGCCAAATAGGACAACAGGCTTCCTTAGCTAGGACTTTAGAATCTCGCGCCATCAATGTGTGCTGCGTCTCCGAAACGCACATACAGGATCCGAGTAGCGTCATTCACTTGACCTCACTGGCCTTCAGCCACACTTCGGTTTCCCACGATCTCCAGTCAACCTGAATGGCAAGTTAATGTAGGTCCTCCGTCTCTTTACGAAGTTGAAAAAGCCATAGGAAATCTGAAGCGAGGGAGAGCAGCAGGCCCTGACAGGTTTACTCCTGAGATTTTTAAGGATGGTGGTCCAGTATTAGCAGTGAGATTAACTGAGGTCTTAGGTAGAATTTGGGAACTGGACGTAATCCCATCTGACTGGTCTCAATCACTGATTGTGCCAGTCTATAAGAAAGGACAAAAGTCCTCTTGTGACAATCACAGAGGAATCAGTTTGACTAATATAGTGTCTAAAATATTAGCTTCAATAATACTTCGACGCCTAACAAAGCTCGTGAAGAGCAGACTAGAGAAAACCAGGCTGGTTTTCGACCTGGACGTGGTTGTATAGATCAGATATTCACACTACGTCAGGTTCTAGAACACAGACACACATTCAGACGCCCCACAATGGTAGTATTTCTCGACCTTAAGGCGGCATTCGACTCTGTTGATCGTGAGGTTCTATGGCAGTGTTTGTCACTGAAAGGAGTACCAAAGAAGTACATTAACCTTATAAAGGCTCTCTACTCGAACACAACTGGTCGAGTGAGAGCTTATGGCGAACTGTCATCAGAATTGATTACCTCAAGTGGTGTTCGTCAGGGCTGTCCACTCTCCCATTCTTGTTCAACTTTGTCATTGACGTACTTTTAGAGATAACACTCTCCTCATCTAAATTTACAGGGGTTGAACTTCTACCGGGAGGTTCACTTGTTGACTTAGAATATGCTGATGACATAGTTTTATTTGGTGAAGACGCTGACAAAATGCAGAGTCTTCTGACCACTCTAAGCAACAATGCAAGCATGTTCGGGATGCGATTCTCTCCCTCGAAATGCAAAATGTTGCTTCAGGATTGGGTTGCATGACACCCGAACTAATGATAGGGAGTGAAGTAGTTGAGTGTGTCGACCGCTTCACTTATCTTGGAAGTCTCATCAGCCCTTGTGGTTTAGTGTGTGACGAAATCTCAGCACGGATACAGAAGGCTCGACTAGCTTTTGCCAACTTGCGTCATTTATGGCGTAGGCGAGATATCCGTCTATCAACCAAAGGACGTGTTTACTGCGCAGCAGTTCGTTCCGTCCTACTTTATGGCAGTGAAACATGGCCGGTAAGAGTAGAGGATATTCGTAGGTTACTAGTATTTGATCATAGGTGTCTTCGAAATATTGCTCGTATATCTTGGGACCATCGAGTAAGTAATGCAGTTGTTAGGAAACGGGTACTAGGTAAGGATGGCAAATCAATTGATGAAGTAGTGAAACTTCATCAGTTGAGATGGCTGGGACACGTGTTACGTATGCCCAACGACCGACTGCCTCGACGTGCTATGTTCAGTGGTATAGGAGTAGGTTGGAAGAAAGCTAGGGGCGGCCAACCAAAACATGGCACAAGTCCATGAAGTCACTGACAAGTGGACTGAGTCATGTTGGTAGGTGTAGACTACCTGGTTGGGGACCGCGAGATGATAGCAACCGATGGTTAGAGACCCTGAATGACATGGCTCAAAATCGTTTGCAATGGCGCAGGTGCATACACTTTGTGTTCTCCCAAATTTTGATCTCCTTATTCCTTCTTGTCTCTTTTTTCTCTTCCCAAATTTATTTCACTGTATTATACTCTTTAAATAACATCTCCAAACCTAATCTTCCCGATTACTGCTTATACTCTTATTACCTCTACCACTACGGGATTTGAATCGACCACTGCATCTCTGTGCTAATGTGGTATGGCAACTCGAACTGATGTACGTACGTACGAAGTTCTATGTTGTTACTGACTGAGACTGCTCGAGAGCTATCTATGACAGGGTAACATATTCTATATTAGTTATTATCAAACAACATTAGTTCTCTGCCTGTCTGGAATTACTACATGTTCACTTACCGAAGATATACGAAACTATGTACATATAAGGTTGTAAGTATATAACGAATGGTGGAGGTACTTCGCCGTATATGTAAACATCTTGCATCATCCGTGACTAGAAACCAATATTGTACATTTCTGTTGAGACAGTAATTTATGAGTAATTCCCAAAATTCAAATACTGTAATATAAGACTTGACGTCCTCAGTGTGTACCATGCACTGACCAAGTAATTTCACAATTGGACTCAACATCACATCGTCTTATGTGCTCCTCTCATTTACACCAAAATGTGCACATCCATAACTATTCAGGACTTTGAAATTCATGTTTATTCGTAAAATTTTCAATTTTTAGATCATTCATAGTACTGACGTATCTGGTAAGCGTATCTAGTCCAAAGAAAATGTGTTTTATCAGTAATGTTAACATGTTACTCAGACTACGTCAACTTTCGAGTTTTCACTTAAAATTCTCATACAACATTGTTGTAGGAAAAATAATCACTGACAACCTACGGTTTGTTTACTTGACTTTCAACTATTAAATCACTGGTCGAAGTACCATTTAATTTACCAAAGTTTAGGCAATTGGATAATATAATTGGTCTTCACACATCAGGTATATCTAGCAGATTATTACATAACTACTGAGATATTTCTTTGAAAAGTATACAAAAGTACAACATACGTCTCTTTCACATCTCAAGTTTAAATGTAGTGACTTGTGATGGGTGATTAAAAAAGTAACAGACAAACTTCATTAACAGTCAACATCTTGGATGCTATCTATTTAATAATTTTTAATCACATATTTAAGTTACAAAATGATCGTACTACCCATCTCAAACATTTGTACTAAGAAATCAATTTCTAATCTAGTCACTGAAGTTTTCGATACCAAATTTAATAACAAAATTGGTTGTTAAATAATTATTTCTACCGAAACACTACTTATTACTAAAGCACAGGGACTAAAGATGTTCTTAGTTTTTCCTGAGAGTACTATAGATGTAATAAACTAATACGTCGGGGTCAGAGTAAAAAAATACTTCTTTTAGTAGATGAAGAATTATCCATCTTCAATCACTAAACATCTATGGTTAGTTGAGCATCATTGTTGGTTCACTATACAGGATTTATAGACTTTTGACTATCTACGACATTCTTTTGCAGAACAATCTCATCAAACTAATGAAAATGAAAGAACTTCCCATGAATTATCTGTTTATTATTGTAACATAAAAACATTAATATAACATTAAATAGGATATTTTAGTGAAACTCTATGATGCTGAATCAATATTCAGTGTTTGTATTTCGCCTTTATGATTCTAGGGATTGGCAAATGAAGCGTGCTTTCCAAGCTTCCTTATATTTACATAATCCTAATGCCGTTATAATATTAGGAGATATTTTGGATGAAGGGAAATGGGCTACAAATGATGATTTCAGCTATTTGGTGGGAAGATTTCGCGATATTTTTCATCATGATAAAACGAAAACATTAGTTAAAACCGTTGTTGGGAATCATGATATTGGATTTCATTATGCGTGCGTCATCTTTCTTAATTAATTGTTATGCAACGTTTTTTGTTTGCAAATATTTCTTATCGCATCGTACGTAAGGTTAGTTACAATTCTTGTCAGTTGTGTAGCCACTGTTTCAAATCCAATGCACCCTGTATTCAAACTACCAATCCCTTTAATTTTTATTGGTATGAAAATACCCTAAATATGACAGCATCAAACAATACCGACTTCTAGATTTGCTTATACTAAAGATAAACAAGGAACAAGACGATAATCATTATTTATTTGTTTGTTTGAACACATAAATATTGGTACAAAGGGTCACCGAATATATATGCGCTGCACAAGTCGCTTGATTTATGTGTGGGCTGTGATACCGCCCGGGTGCCCAAACCGAAGCAGGTGACTTTCTTAGGGGGCCACACCCGGAGCCTCCGACCTGAAGGTCTAATTCACATGGCAATGGAGCAACTTTAGGAGATGCAGTCCCATGGTAGCCGGTGATCAACAATTGGTTCATACGCTTTTTCTTCCTTCAGGATACTGGAGCCCATGTGCACCATTGGTTTGGAATGAGGGTTTTTTTCCAACTCCCCTAGGTGGACTCATCGTGTCAACCAGCCCGGTTAAATTGCCAGATATTCGCTTTTGGTCCTCTAAATTTCATAAACAACACCCCTGCTGCGAGAAAGTAGTGAGTAGGAATTCTGTGGCAGTGGCTGTATACGCGTGGCCATTTGAGAGCATTTTAAGAGGAAGAGCGGACTCTCCATTCTCGACCGTATCAGGGCATTTGGGAGCACAAAATGACAATGGTTGCGAGGTAAGGTATATTTGATTGTATTAGATATATAGAGAAAATAAAACTTATAAAATAGCTATTTATAGTAGGAGAAGCATTTCACGTCAAACTATGCCATAATTTGATGATAACACTTGGTCAAGATCCTTCAGCTGGTACTGTCCATTTAAACCAATAAGTTCAGAATCGATGCCGAATGCTTACCTCTTCAGACGCCTCAGGCGATTTTAATCGTCTTAAAATACGTGGTAACTCAGTTGAAAAAAATCTGAATACCAATTAAACTTTAAATATTTCCTATGATTTTACTAGCATATCTCACACAATTTGTATTTCTGTGTGATTTCAAATTTACTGCTACTGTGTCAACGTAGAATTTGATCAAGATGGTAAAAAATTTCGTTTTCTTATTTAGCACTAATGAGTTTTTGAATAATCGATTTCACCGGGATGTTGGAGACAATATTTATACACCGCCTATTTATCTGTGGTCCTTCTTTGGTATCCATTTCGTTATTGCAAACAGTATCGCTTTTGAAGGTGACAATTGTGATTTATGTTTTGAAGCCAATTTCATATTGAAATCGATCGCGAGATATCTTGATTGTTTGAAGATATCTACTCCATCTAATACCAAGAGTTGTTATTCCAAGGAACTTGGTATGGGCCTTTCTGACAAATTCCCATACATTGATGTTGACCTTAATGGTAGGTTAACACGAACTTATCACTCATAATTTAAGTAGTTTAGATTATGAAGCGTACACCTCTTTAAAGATATCATTCAATTATAAAGTTCATTTTGAGTCTATCTAAAAGCAGTTTTACATTACTTCTGTTTCTAAGCTTACCAATTTAAAATATTCATCAATAGTTTGTTATGACAAGGCTTTCCGATTGTTCATTACTTCTGGTTTTTCTGTGGTTAAGCTGAAGTCACTATAAATTTTTAGTTATTGAAAATGTATTCACCATATAAGGTCACCTGTTGATCCTTACAATCCAGTGGCAGTTTTTGTCTTCGATTTACTTATATTTATTATGTGCACGACTTTCTGACCAGAGCACTCACCTATGCCTGTTACCCCTCGTGAAGAAGCATGGGTCACCCATCAGCATTCTTCATCGAACTCTGTCCTGGACAATCCTTCCCAGTAGTTTCCACTTGTTATTCATCCTTTTCATATCTGCTTCTAACTCCCAACTCTGTGTTTTTTAGTCTTCCTTTTTTCTGTTTCCCTTTAGGATCCAAGTTAGCACTTGTTTCGTGATTCGGTTTGATGATTTTCACAACGTATGTCCTATCCTCTTCCATCATCTCTCCTTAATTTCCTCTTGTTTGTTGTTTTGAGTTCCAGATCTTTCTCAACTGTAGGAGTGTTACTCTCACTTTGCCAATCCTCATCTTTACATCTGCATCGGATGCTCCTTGTTTACAGATGATGCTGTCCACCTGTTCCAGAGCTCCTTCATCAAGTATGATTGCTTTGGTGTTCTCTGTGATGATTTTCAATATCTTGCATTTTCCCCTGTGTATGTTGAGGCCTACTGATGCAGAGGCTTCTGCTACACTGACTGTCTTCACCTGAATTTGTTCGTGTGTATGAGATAGAAGAGCTATATCGTTTGCGAAATCCAAATCGTCTGGCTGCATCCGAGCTGTCTATTGTATTCCATGCTTACCCCAGATATAGAGGTCTTCATAATCCAGTCGACTACCAGAAGAAAGAGATAGCGGAGACTAAGCATACTTGTCTGACTGTGGTCCTCAATTGGAATGCATCTATCACCTTTCCTCCATGCACAACTTTGCAGTGAAGTTCGTCGTATGAATTCCGGATGATGTTAACGATCCCCTCAGGTACACCATAGTGTCGAAAAAGAGTCCGTAAGGTTCTCCTATCCATGCTGTCAAATGCTTTCTCGTAGTCATGGAAGCTGATATATAGTGACGAGTTCCATTCAATTGATTGTTCAACGATGATCCGTAGTGTTGTAACTTGGTCTCTGCACGACTGATCCTTAAGGAATCCGGGATGTTGGTCTCGAAGCTGGTAGGCGTCGACTGAATCTTTCATTCGACTCAACAACACTGTTGAAAACGCTTCCTGGTGCCGATATTAGTGTGATACCTCCACAGCTGAGTTCTAATACTCGTTGAGATCTCCTTTATTGATTTATTGGCGATGTACTTTTCCCGGTCTGTTATCATTTGTTCTTCCTCCCATATCTTTCTGAATAGAACGTGGAGTATCTTTAGAGTCATCTTTCTGTCTGACTTCAGTGCTTCATATGGTATGTCGTCAGGACCTGCAGCTTTCGTACTCTTCGTTTGTCTGATGTCCACGCTGATTTATTCGATTGTTCATATGATGATATCTATAGGAAGGTCCATGTGTGCTGCCTCGATGTCGGCGGGTTCAGTGAAACTGGCCTATTCAAGAGTTCCTCGGAGTATTCTACCCATTTGTCTCTCTATTCTTGAATCTCAGTGATTGTCTTGCTTTCTTTGTCCTTGACTGGTGTCTTTGGTTTACTATATCCCTATGCTAGTTTCTTCGTTGTGTCATATAGTTGTTTCATATTTCCCTCTCTTGCAGCTTCTTCCATTGTCGCTACTGGGTCTTCCACGTATTTCTACTTGTCGGCTCTGATGCTCCTCATCACTTGCTTGTTTGCTTCTGTGTATTCCGTTTGTGCTTTGACTTTCTCTGCTCGTATTCAGCTGTTGTTAATCGCTGTCTTTTTCTTCCTTTCTTGAATCCTGTCCAGGGTTTCGATAAATATCCATTCCTCATGATGATGTTTCTTGCTACCCAAAACCTCCTGATACGTTGAGATTAGTGCTTCTTTGATCCTTTTCCAGTTGTCTTCTTCTTCCAGTAGATCCTGTAAGTCTTGGAACCTGTTGTTGAGATTTATCTTGAGTCCGTTGAGTTTGTTAGTAGCTCACAGGAAGGCTGTATTGAACCTTTGTAATGCTGTTTCCCCAATTGTCCAGTGTTTCTTTAGCTTTGGTTTCATCTCGGCCACATCCAGGTGGTGATCTGAGGCTATTTCAGCTCCTCTCCTGGTTCTCACGTCTTCCATCGTCCTTCTGAATTTTTTAGTGATGCATATGTGATCGGTCTGGTTCCCTGTTGTGTGATCCCGTGAGACCCGTGTAGTTTTGTGTATGTGTTTGTTGGGGAATATCGTTCCTCTTATAACCACTTTGTTGGATACATATAGATTTGCAGATCTCTCACCATTCTCGTTTCTTTCTCCCAGTCAGTCCATGTCGTTCTATGCTATCTTCATACATGGTGTTGTCCATTCCGACTTTGGTATTTAGGTCTTCCATCAGTATGGTCAGGTCCTTTCTTGAGCACTTCGCTATGGTTGATTGCAACCTCTCGTAAAACTGATCTTTATCGTCGTCGTTGTTATCATTAGTGGGTGCCTAACATTGGATAAGATTCATTATGATTCCCTGTTTTTTTTTTGTTTTGAAAGATGCTTTGACGATCCTGGGTCCATGAGATTCCCACTCAATAAGTGCATTTCGTGCTTCTTTGAACAACATCAGAACAACTCTTTGAGTGTGTGGAGCATTTCGTTCTTCGTGACCAGAGTACAGCGGCATCTCTCCCAAATCTATCCTTTTCTTTCCAGCTTGAGTCCGATGGGTTCCATTGATTCCGAGCATTGCCTAGTTGTATCTCCTCATTTCCGTAGCTATTTGATTGATCTTCCTGGTTTCCCACATTGTCCGAACATTCCATGTACCCATACTGATTGTTGCTCTGATTGTTAGAAGGAGAATCGGTCTCGTGATTTTCGAAGATTCTCGGCTTTGACCATGAGGCACCATTATTCTTGTGAGTGAAGATCCGACAACTCCAATGGCCGGGCTTCAACGGTTTACGTGGGACGTGTTTGCTGACTCCATGCTTAATTCCACTCTATTTCTGGGTTTGGAACCGGCAATTCCCCTAGAAGGGCTACAGGTGGAATTGACGAGAGCGGAGTGCTTGTTTTATTTTCCAGGTTTTCAGGAGGATATTATACAATAATTTTTAATTTCACTCGTTCACCGGTACTTTAGTATGAACTTGTTCAACTTAAAAGCCATATCAATAATTTTATCCAGATCTCTCAATAAATCACCTCATCAAAATACTATATGCCTTCTTGACAAACATAACTGTAGATCATTCAAATTTTTTTAGTTATTTTCATTTGTAGTTACATATTTACCACTGAAAACTTTGGTTTTGAAAAGGGATAGGCCAAGGAAATAAGTTTTAAACTAATCAGTCATTATCCATATTCGTTATCATAGGTAACATGAACGTATTAAAACGTTGGTCAAGTAAACGCAACACAAAACCTGGCACATGTGTCCATCAGTTCGAGTTGCCACACTTCACATAAGAATCGCGAAAGTAAATTACCAAAGTTTTAATCAGAAAAGTAAAACTACTATTCATAATATTGTTGGTAAAAACTAAAAACAGATAATATGGTTTAGTAAAGAAGGTATACTATCGAAGAGTAAAATATCCAAAATAATTTTCAGGCTAAAGAAATGGTAAAAGAATATAGATATATATAGACTACTGCGACAGACTTCTATTCGTGTCACCTGAGCTATTCAACAATTGATTGCGTTTATCTCACAGACACTAACCAATGAGTCTACTCTTGTCGACATGTCTCAGTCCAACAGTCGGTGGTTTCATGGACTCCTACTAAGTCTCAGTTTGACACTTGTTAGTCTTCATTCATATTACTTTTACACTGGCCAATGTAGTAATGTCCACGAATAGACGGTGTATTGTTACATGTAACATATGTCATCACATCAGTCAATGAAGGATTACATTCTCGATTATAATAGATTTGCCATTTTATCTATTTTCCTACGTCCAAATTTCAGTGTTACTCATTTGGTGGTTCGACTATATACAGCTGATACTTCAAAGGTGTCTATGATCAAATTTTAGTAAGCTACACATATCTTCTAGTCTCATAAGCCATATTTCAAAACTGGCAGGCAGTACATAATATATTAACCTTAAGTGTATCGACAACTTAATAAATAGACGAACGTGTTCTTTGCATCACATCTTGTGCATTTAGAAGAACCAAACGACGTATTGTTATCCTTACCGAGATCTCGCTAGTCACTAGAGTTTGTGATAGTTCTCGAAGTGGAGTGACCACCTTGATTAACCATTTCATTCCGTATGGTCATTAATTGACTTCTAGGTGCCAAAGAACTGATAAACCACCACAAAACATTAAGGATTTAGAAACCGTTCTTTGTAAGTTTCTTATTGTTAAAGTATTACACAGCTTTACTCTGATTATGGATGATTAATAGGATACACAATTGTCTTTCTTCAAAATCAAAGGCTTTTAACTGTGAATTCATTTTCATTATCAATGTATGGTCATACTATTATAATCAATAATGTATATTTTCTTCAAACTGAATAAATGTTAGGTAAAACAGAGAAAGCTTTTCTTGATGCATCTTTAACATGTCAAAAAATGATATTAAAGATTCCCATTGTGAAAATTAGAACAACACATATAAGATATGATATGATTGTTGAGATGCTAGGTTAGTTGTACTGTACTCGTTATTAGTATTATCTGTCTAGTTGACTTGTGTAAAATGCGTGTGTACCGTTTAGTGTAACCATTTATTTCTCTTCAAACATGTAATCATCTATGCGTATATATATATATATATATATATATATATATATATATATGTAACTGTTTAGCTTTTTCAGAAGTGTTATTGTTATACTCGTCCCATTTTACCCAAATTTCCTCTTATTTCAGATCCATCTTCTTTCGTCTATTCACGTCCGGTTATTTTACAACATTTCCCCTATATCGCACTTCTGATAGTGGATGCTCTGCAAAACCAATGGATGCTATGCCTAAACACTTGAGAAAAACTGTAAACAGACCGAAACTTGATTGTCTTTCAAAAGAGGCAACAAAACAAGTACGTCCCGAATTTCACCAGTATTTTGTATACCTTGAATGCAATAATATGAATTTTTAAGTTCATGTATATTATCTGTCTTCAAAAACAAGCTTTATTTACCTGTAAAATCGGTTACACATTCATTCAAATTAGATTTTTATGCTTTATTGATCTGTTTCTATTTTGAAATAACCTCCGAAAATATACACTAAACCAAGCAATGCGATTCAGTTACCTTAAAATATCATCCATAAGTAACTGCTTGACTCTGGTTTCTTATTGACACCATATTTCACAGAAGCTTCTCCCTAAAATTTCAGTCTGTCGCTATGTGGACACTTCTTATGTGTCCCAAGTCAATACAAAACACTTTCAGTGCAATTTATGTGCTGAATTTCATCCTAATCTGACTGATAAATCATTTACCAGTCAAAGATTTTTGTACTTGACTTTAAACCACACTCTAAGCACGAGGGCTAATGATCCAAGTCGAGCGGTGTTCATACCTGCAGTCTAATGACTTAATTGAAGGCCTTAACCATTAAGCTACCGCTCTGTTTCAAGAGTTAGTTTCAGGATCTGCTCACTAAAAAGTACTACACACCTGACCAAGCCTGATTAGGAATCGTCCAAGGCTTCAAGTCGATGGGCATTGGTAAACCTCTACCTAGAACCAGGCCGTTCGTGATCACCTTGGTCCTTTGTCCTATTTTCTCAACCGTTTTCCAAATAATATCATTCCTTGTCATCCAATATGGGACTTGGCACATATGGGCATCAGTTCAAGTTGCCACACCAGATTACCAGAAAAAGTTAAAATTATTAAGACAGATCCCTGTGTAGGAGTAGAAACTGTGTTAATAGCAATAATATCGAGGACTAAGTATAGAAAAAATGTATAAGGAGATTTCAAGGCTCACGGTCTCATGAGAAACTAAAAGCGAATGCTCCTACACCATTGAGTACGATTCTGAGTTATATTAGGGTTTCGATAATCTCACGGACCCCAACCAATTAGGCTCCACATACCCACATGGCTTAGTCCAGTTCTCAATGTTTACATGGACTGTTGTTGAGTCTTGGACTGACCACCCTCTTATTTCTTCCAGCCTTCATCTACATTAAACAAAATTACCTATCTAGGTTGTTGATAGTTGGGGGTATGTGATGATTTATTTATTTTAGCACATAAACATTGGTACAAGGGGGCACCAAATACATATACTCCACACAATAACAACGAAGCGAGTAGCGGTTATCATTGATTTGTGTGAGGGCTATGACACCATTTTAGTGTTAAACGAACTTTTTTGTATATTACACGTAAACCACTTCTAAAGGATAATCATTTGTTGTCAAAATAGTCAGTACCAATTTTAAGTCGGAATTTTAATTCATAGAAGTTCGGCTTTCATGTACAAACATCGACTATCAGTTATTGCTAGTTTGATATCTGTCACTGTGGCGGTAATTTGTAGTTTTGAACGCAAAATGTTGAATTGTCGTTCCAAAATGTCAATATTATTTATGACTACAATCTGATCAATATCAAAACTTCATCCCTGCTGTTAGAATTATAATTATATCATTCTTTTTTTGCAAAATTAGTTACTGGAATCTCTTCGTCCACGACTAATACTATCTGGTCATACACATTACTCATGTAAAATGTCACATCAATTCGGTAACCAATCGGATTCTGCTGTGGAATGGTCAGTTGCTAGCTTCTCTTGGAGAAATCTCGCAAATCCTGGATTTCTAATGGTATATTAATTGGATTATTATCCGTAATATATGCAATTTACCGGAGTTATTCCTACTTCAACTGACTTTAATTAATTCATGGACAGTATTGATTAAGTTACAATGATATACATAGACAATAATTTAATCTATACCATGCTTTATTCAAAGCATCAATGACGAAAGAAATTGAACAAAATGAGAATCAATAAAGTGGAAATAATAAGATGAGTGATCGTGAAATATTTATACTTAGAATGGGTGAAATTTGGCTGGCAGTGAAATCCAGATCGCGTGTTTCATTGTATTTGATACTCATCAGCTGGATGTACCTGGATCTCAGAGATGATGTACCAAGACTGATCAAATTTCGGTCAAAATATCAACAACGGGATAATTCAAACCACTATAGATTGAATTAAAACTCGAATCTGTTGCGCAAGTGAGTAACTGTTTGAACTTAGAGGCTAAGTTGATGACGTGTTATCGTTCGGAGTGTTACGGAGTTTTAGTACCAGAGAGGACATAGTATGCAGGTACATTCAGCTGACGGGTCTCAAATAGGACGAAATGAACCTCTAAAATTTCACTGCTAGCAACATTCCATCTATTTTATGTAAGCTTGTCACAATGGCTGTTTTTAGGCGATTTTCTTGGGATGCACCTATCCCAACTCTGGTCAAATTTTAGTCAAAATATGGTAGAGGTAATTCGAACCGTTACAAATTAAGTGAAGAAATATTTAGTAAGAAAAATCAACTAGTTCAATCTTTGTTGAAGGGGTTTTGTGTAGATTGGTCTAATCTCTATGTTGTATCACTAAAAGCTGGGGGACACCTGGCAACTGTTTCATCCCATTATGGGCTCTACATCAACGTTCATTCAAGGCCTCGTCATTTATCAAACTCGGGACCTTCAAATCTCAGCAAATAGTTGCCCATTAAAAAACTGGGTAGGCGCCCAGTGGTACAATTTCTACCTCGATTAATATGTGACAGCGTTACAAATTTTAGTCTTTTAGTTGATTCAACTAATAAACGACACGTAACTGACCTCACTTTATCACACAACCGATACAATTTGCTTTTGTCCTAGGTCCACTAAAATTAAAAGTCTCAAATAAATAATCAAAGAGATTATTTCAGATTTCTGTAATTGGTATTTTACAGGAGTGACTGTCGTTACCGAATTTCATATCCTATAGTTTCTCAAAGCACTATAGCGAGGCGGCTTAGTGGATAAACCACAAGTCGTCTCAATATATGATTACTTATTCGAGCCCCATCAAATTCATTTTGTATTTGTTTAGGCGGATAGTACAACATACTAACATAAACTTGATTACGGAGTTGCATTGTCAATAGTTTGTTTTATATAAGCCCAATTCGTTTTCTAAATCTTTAGTTAATAGGAAATAAATTTTGTTTGGTCATTTCAAGAATGTCTAATAAATTGATTTTTTCGATTGTTCAGTATTCCCTAACCGCTTAAATTTGTTAGACGTTTCTCAAATCGGAACAAGAATTAAAAGCAAATAAAATAAGGTCCATTAGTCCGGACAAGAAAGATATCAGTAAAAACACTAGAGCTTATATAAAATTTATATAAAAGTCTTCTATCATCTCATTTCGTCCACTAGCACTGATTGGTTAAAAAACTGACCATTCAGTATATCGAATTTGAGTCTGATTAGAATGCAGTATAATCAGTGTGATTGGGCCGTAATATCAAGAAGGTAGTTGTATGATCTCTAGTTCCATTACCGATTTATTCATCCTTAACCCTCGTAGGATCGCTAACCTACTTACCGCTTGACGCATGCATCCTTTATGTTTATTCATCCTCGAGCTCCTAAGAAAGTGACCATTCAGAAGGCGAAGATCGAAAGCATATTAGTTCCTCATATCACTCGATTCAGTTATGACTCAAAACTCATACGATAATATAACTGAAATTTTTAAACACAGCAACACAACTAAGTTAATACAATGTGTACATAACGTAGTTATAAGTGATCCGAAACCGGATTAATAAAGAATTAACTAATTAATGATAAATCTGGAATAATAAAACGTAACAACGATTTATGGCCCCCAAATGCCCTGGTATGGCCGAGAATGGGGTGGGCCCTCCCTCCCTCTCGAAATGCTCTCACACGGCCACGCGTATACAGCCTCTGCCAGGGAAGTCCTACTCACTGCCTTCTCGTGGCGGGGGTGTTGTTTACGAAAATGAGAGGACGAAAAGCGAATGTCCGGCGCTTTAATCGGATCCCAAACCAATGATGCACATGGGCTCCAGTATCATGCAGGAACGAATGGCGTATGAACCAATCGTTGGTCACTGGCTACCATGGGAATGCATCTCCTCACGATGCTCCACTGCCTTGTGGGTTAGACCTATAGGTCGAAGGCTCGGGGTGTGCTCCCCTAAGAAAGTCACCTGTTTCGGTCTGGGCACCCGTGCAGTATCACAGCCCGCACATACACAAATATGGTGTGGCGCATATATATTTGGTGCCCTCTTATACCAACATTTATGTGTTGAAATAAAATAAAAAAATAAACAACGATTTATGGGTCAAACAAAAGATTGACAGTAGGAGAACATAAACAAAAGTACAAAGGTATACTAAATATTCAACAAAAATAAAAATTCTCCGTATGATATTTACACGAGTTATATCCTACTACTCATCCCATCATACCAATCATATGTTTCTTAACTATCATAAAATGTCCTGTTTTATTCCATGAATCCATATTTTCTTTCCGAATCGTATCTTCTGTGCGTAACCTTTTCTGCTACCACTGACATTATCACTACTCTGGCATCCCGTTATGGTGATATTTTGGAGCAAATTGAATCTATGCGAATATTTACCAGGCTCGAATGTAAGTATGACTAGTTAACGGGAAACCTTGGATAGGTGATACAGAGTTGAATCCTCCAGCGAGCATCAATCCGTTAAACTTACAGGTACACCTTAGTAATGAGTGCTAAATAGCGTGAAACCTAGGTTTCAGTGATTTCGTCGACTACCTCCACCACCTTACAGCTAATTGAGAGTATTTAGTATTTTTTTTTTAGAAATTACACTAATATCATTGATAAAGTTGGATTCTGTGATAATGTACAATGCTGATTATTTTCTTTTGCAATATTTACTATTTCCTCATATCTTTCTTGTTTTACAGCTTTCAATATCGTCCACAAATTATTCAGTAAATAAATGTTATCTCCCAACTGAGTTGCGTTTATTACAAATTTATATTTCCGGTGTTCTACTCATACTTTTTGTTGTCACGTATCAAAAGTTAATACCATATTTTGTTTAAATCTTCTTTCCTAGGACAATATAGACATAATTCGAAACTAATACATTTTCTTAACTCTCAATGTTTTTAAAAATGTATTTTCTTTATTCCTTTTTTTATCTTCATGATTGTTACACTGTTTTGATGTATTGTATTGATTTTCATGCTCTTTTCTATTCTATAAGTAACATCACATAAGCCGTTTCGTTTTGAAAAATCAATAATAATAATCTTGATGGTAGATTATTTCTTATCATAATCTGTGTGTATGTGTGTGTGTTTAAAACAACTGATGAACGCCTATATAGCTCTACGTACTATCGATTGAGTAAGCAATTAGTATCATTAGCTCTCATACTGTACAGTGTTAGCCGATGCCAAGTTTATAAATCTGTGCTTGATTGACGATTCGGTAATAATATTTATGTGCATTTCTAGATCATACATTTGTATATCTGTAAATCTTATTTCCCGATTTAAACTAATCTGGATAACAATCCATATTTTTATGTAAAATGGGAATTGTTATCCAATGGAAGTGCTTTATGCTTGTAATGTGCATCACATTTCACTATTCATCAAGAAGAAAACTCGATTTAAAAACTTTTAAGACGAATAAGAAGAAATAAACACGATATATCTGGATCTGATTTATTTTTACGCATTCTTAAATGAGTTTTGTGGCGATGACTGGGTTTTGTAATTCTGCATCTTATACTGATCTTCATTAAACAACCACTGAAATCTAGAAATCCCTTGGATAAATATTAATAACTAACTGAAGCTAGACGTACTAACCATTGGATGGTAATTCAATTATCTGAGAGATAAGTGCTCGTCATGAGCTCAGTAGGTCATGGGTTCTACTCCTGGTCCAGTTGTTGATCCCCACTCCCGATGAGCCCTTTATCAGTGTAAAACATGTCCAATGGTTCATGGTTTGTAGTCATGGTCTAACCAAAGTCAATCTGTGATGTGCAAATACGAAATATGTTTGTTCTTACAAAACGTTGAAACAGTGAGATTACAGCACTTGTTAGCGTTCATGTGTCATTAATAATCACTATACAGTAGGTTTTTTCCACTTACAACAATATGATTTACTCCTACTAATAATAACTTATTGTGTAATATGATTCGTCATAGGTAAGTGAAGTACTGATTATAATAATAATTTTCAATATATTACTTAGGTATAATAAATTTGGCATGTCTAGAAAAACGGATTCCAAAAATGACGATCGAGTGGTTGGACCAGTTTTTCAGCCTGATGATCTTGTTCCATCCACTGGGATAGGCCCTGCATTACCCTCTGATTTATTCAAACAGAAATTAAATAAAGAGTCGAAATCAATCAATTATAAATCTCCCACTAACTTTGAAGAGATTGATACTATTGGTCCTTTACTACCGGGACAAGAAATAAGAGAAGAGTGGCGGCATCTAAAATCTGGTGTATGTTGCTTTTTATATGTTTCAGGTATCAATTTTAGTTAAAATTCTTTTTTTTCAAGTTTGCTTGTAAATATTTTGCATATCGCTTTTCTTTGGCGAATTGCACAGAATATCATTTATTAGTTGAATATCATCCAAGAAATTCGTTGTAAACATCTTAGTTAACCTAGAAATCTCATGAATATTGGGTTTATAAAAGATAAATATGTAACAGTTTAAATTTCGTAATTCTATTTGGAGACTCTCCGCTTTCTCTCAGTATACAACATGATTATGTAAACACTAAATACCGGTGTTTTGAAACTAGTCATTCTTGTGGGACTAATAAACATCTACTTTGAAGATCCATAAATTTGTCCGCTGTTTGGTTGACAGTGACATTGTCTTCTGCATGTTTTGATCGATATCCTGTTATTAGTACAGATAAAATTCGATCGTCTTCTCATCTGGAGAAATTATGAAACCAACAGTTCTAAATAATCTATCAACCTCATAACTTAGCTCTTTCAAAAAGTATTTTGTAATGATATTTACGGCAAAAACTCAACTATTTTTACCATTACTAGGGATAACCAAAACTTGGGATCAATGCACGAAGTTTTTGATTGTTGAAGTAACTTCTGATTGTTAGTTCGCAGCCCCTACTTCACGAAATCCCGATCGTTGCTGCTACCTTGGCATGGTGGTCGAGCTTGCTTATCGTGATGAACCAATCGGGCTATACTGGCTGGGACAATCGTTCCTCAAGGTCCTACCATGCCAGACAGGTCGGTTGAAGAGCGGTAAGACTAAAAGCAGTAAACCCAATGTACGAGGGCGAAATCGTACTTCTTACTGTATAGAGGTGCGACGGCAGTATGGTGATTCCTTCGGAAAACCAGCATAACAGCAATGCTACCTTCCTACAAGGAGGAGTGGGGTTAGAAAAGGTCGGCCCTAGAAATGCACACCTCACCTTATCCCACGGATATCCGTCTCCGGTGGTAAGGTATCAACAAGTGCGGAGCTAACACGAAAACTACTCGCGAAAATGTCATGTGTCCGGCCTCAAGTAGTTGTCCCTTGGGCATCGTAGTTGCGCTCTCAGGTCACTAAGATAACCCCTAACCTAATTTCTTTTTCAGGTACATCCAGAAGAACCCTTCTACGGTGTGGGAAACCGGGAAGTGATAACTGCCCTCATACCTCTAGCAGCACTCAAGATCATTGTATTTATACTCAGTGTCCCTCCTCACTTTCTATTATTCCTCCTACCTCGACTTTCAACTCGAAACTTCCTTCGCAAGTGTCACTATGGCCAACGACTCTAGTGCGCGAAACTCTGTCCCAGGTCTACTGAACCCTCGCTCCAAACTACACATTGAAGCCTTCAACGTACGCACCCTCTTTGGCTGAAACCCTAGGATCTCATACTATTGATGTATGCTGTGTCTCCGAAACACACATACAGGGTCCTAGTGTGGTCATTCACTTGACCTCACCTTGCCAAAACGGGGAGCCGACGAGAAACACCATCGTATATCTGGCGACCCGATGGCTAGTTCTCGTGGACTGGCAGGAGTAGGCATAGCACTGAGTACGAGGGCAGAACAAGCACCATTAAAATGGATCCCCGTTAACAGTCGCCTAAGTGTTGTTCAGCTGAACGGCTCCATAAGAACTCGAAAGGATAGGGATACCTCGTTGTCTTTTCGTCGTTTCTGCCTACGTTCCCACTGACAGTAGTTCGGATGAAGTGATGGATGAGTTTTACGGAAAGCTTTCTGTACTTCTTCATTAAGCTAAACGCTCAGACATAGTACTCGTAGCAGGTGACCTTAATGCCCAGGTAGGTAGCTTAAACCAAACAGAAAGAAATTTAGGTTGGTATATTGACATTCCGGCTCAGCGAACCGATAATGGTGATCGTCTGCTGCAACTGCGCTCAGACAATCGTTTATTTTTAACAAACACTAATTTTAAGCATAAGGAGAGACATCGTCTAACATAGCGACCGCCTGCACCAAGCCAACGATAGACTCAAATAAACCATATTACCATCAGTCATCGTCGGAGAGGCTGGATAGAAGACTCGCTTGTTCTTAAATACCTGTTTGGACACCAATCATGCTCTAATACGAGCCCGCATTTGCTTGCTCCTCACTGGATACAGAAAAAACCACATTAGGGTTGGACTCAGTGACGAAATGCCGAAAGTAGATTCCATGAACAACTGAGGCCGCACTTCGATAGTTCTGAAAACGAGGCTGACCAATATATTGCTTGGAAAGATATACGAACAGCTGTGGAAACAGTAGTGACATCTACTAGTGATTTGAACCAAACGGTCACGAAAAGCCAATGGATTTCTACTAAGTCTATTGCACTGATGGATTCTCGTAAACACTCCATCAAGCTCTAGACACGATGAAGAACGAAAACAATTCAGATATAGGTTAACCAAAAGTCTAAGGAATAACCGTGAGCAGTAGTGGGCAGCAAAAGCAAGAGATGGAAAAGGCAGCGGCTGTAGGTAACGCCAAACATTTATTCAAACTAATAAAAGAAACTGGAATTAATAAATCAAGTGTAAGTGAGGCGATCTCGGAAAAAGACGACACTCTTATCTGCTCTCAGTCCAGACGTTTAGAACGATGGGCGGAACATTTTAAGGAGCAGTTCAGCTGGCCTTCAACTACTCTACAAATACACACCATTCCCAAACAGCCTGAACAGAACATTGAAGTAGGTCCCCCGATTCCAATCCGAAGTCGAGTAAGAGCAGATGGATCGGTTCCAGAGGTATTTAATTATGGTGGTCCAGTTTTAGCGATTAGGTTAACTAATATTTGAGTTAAAATCTGGGAGTTGGACATCATCCCATCTGACTGGTCGCAATCACTGATTGTCCCAATATATAAGGAGGGGTCAAAATCATCGTGTGATAACCATAGAGGGATTGGTTTGACTAAAATAGCATCTAAAATACCAGGCTCAATAATTATTGGGCACCTAACAAAGATTCGTGAACTGCAAACACGAGAAAATCAGGTAGCCTTCAGATCTGGTCGTGACTGCATCGACCACATATTCACCATTCGTCAGGTTTTAAAACACAAGCATGCTTGTCGACGTCCGACAACGATGGTTTTACTTGAATTAAAAGCAGCATTTGACTCGGTAGACCGCGAGATTCTGTGGCAGTGTCTGTCATTGAAAGGCGTACCTCAGAAGTACATAAGCCTTGTGAAGGCTCTTTACTCGAACACTATCAGTCGAGTCAGAGCTTATGGCGAACTGTCATCTGCTTTTGCAACCTCAAGTGGTGTCCGTCAAGGTTGTCCACTTTCTCCATTTTTGTTTAACTTCATCATAGTCCTATTGATGGAAATAACAGTCGCGTCGACTGAATTCTCGGGCATTGATCTCCTTCCAGAAGGTCCACTTATCGACTTAGAATACATAGATGACAGTCCTGTTTGGTGAAGACGCTGATAAAATGCAGTCTTTTGGTAGCACCAAGCAACAATGCCAGAATGTTTGGAATGCGCTTCTGTCCCTCTAAATGCAAGCTGCTGCTTCAAGACTGGTCTGCGTCAACACCTGAACTAAGGATAGGGAGTGAAGTAGTCGAACGCGTTGACAACTTCACTTATCTTGGAAGTCTGATCAGCCCTAATGGGTTGGTGTCTGACGAAATCTCAGCACGGATTCGTAAAGCTCGTTTGGCTTTTGCCAACTTACGTCACCTTTGG